TGGTGAAGTTGAAATCATCCCTTCGTGAATTTTACGGACGCCATCACGAGTTAGTTGACCGTTATGGAATAACCGTTTCACAGATGATATCGGATATGTTCCTTATGTCGTAACTACAATACCCTTCCCTTTTCACGAATGTGACCTACCGAATTAGACTATTTACCGGATTTGTAATAACATAAGCAACACGACGGGTGCCACATTGGTACAGAATCTGCTTACCCTTCCGGAGCACCTGAGATCACCCCTAGTTTTTGGTTGGGTTCGTGTTGCTTAGTCTTTAGTTTTCTATGTTGTGTCATCTGTACTATTATTTGTCTGTTTGTCTTTTTATTTTTGGCGATTGCATTTTCAGTTTGTTTTCGATCTATGAGTCTGACTGTCCCTCTGGTATCTTTCGTCCCTCTTTTCTCTCTGTCCTTAGCTATATACTGGGCTTGGCCCCAGGTGTATCCCATTGCTTCCAATTCAGTTGTAACAGTTCTTCGCCAGGTGATTCTAGGTCTCCCTGGTTTCCTTTTTCCTCGTGGTGTCCAATATAGAGCTGTTGTAGGTGTGCGATATTGTGGCATTCTCAGTACATGACCTAACCATCTAAATCTTCGTTGTTTGATTTCTGCTGTTATGCTCTTAGCATTACATTTCTCCAAAAGGATCTTGTTGCTGATCTTATTTGGCCAGAATATTCTGTTGATCTTTCTTAGGCAGCTAGTATGGAATGCATCTACTTTTTGAAGGTCACTTACTAAAACACGCCAAGTTTCTGAACCATACAGTAGGACAGATTTTACATTGCTGTTGTATATTCGTAGTTTGGTCCTTAAACTGTACTGGTTGGACTTCCAGATTGTATGAAGTCTTGCAAATGTTGCACGTGCCTTAGATAGTCTTGCCTTTATATCCTTTCCTGTCCCATTATCTTTACTTATGATGCTTCCAAGGTAAGTGAAATTTTCAACACTGTCCACTGGCAGATCATTAATTGTGATTGGTGTTGAATTTCTAGTGTTTATTGACATTACCTTGGTCTTCTTGGCATTAACATTCAGACCAGTTTGCTTTGCATAGTTGTTAAGTATGTTGGTGTTCTCCTAGAGGTGTTTACTTGTTGTTGATAATATGGCAATGTCATCAGCAAAATCAAGATCTTCTAGCTGGTTAAACATGGTCCACTGGATACCCCTTTTCTTGTCTGATGTTGTATGTCTTTGTATCCAGTCAATAACCAATAAAAATAGGATGGGTGACATAATACATCTCTGTCTTACACCAGATTTAACTTCAAATGATTCTGAGATAGAGCTATCAAGGATGACACTGCATTCAAAACTGCTATAGAAGGCTTTTTTTAGCATTAAAATTTTAGATGGAATTCCATATGATTTAACAATTTTCCAAAGAGTTTCTCTATTTATACTGTCAAAGGCATTCTTGAAGTCGATGAAATTAATGAAAAGTGGTGTGTTCCATTCTATTCTATGCACTGCTCAATGATGTTCCTGAGTGTGAAAATTTGGTCAATGCATCCTCTGCCTCTTCTAAAGCCTGTTTGTTCTTCTCTAAGCTTTTCAACCACAATTTTATCAATTCTGTTTAGACGACTTTTGCAAAATACTTTACTAGGGACAGAAAGTGGTGTAATCCCTCTCCAGTTGTCACAGTTGCGTAGATTTCCTTTCTTTGGTAAGTTCACAATGAGGCATTTGCTCCAGTCTGATGGATTGTCCCCTTCTTTCCAGATGACAAGGAAAAGATTGTGGAGTACTTTGGATGATGTATCTAAGTCTGCTTTTAACATCTCTGTGTGGATGGATCAATGCCTGGTGCCTTGACTATTTTCAATGAATTAATGGCATTTCTTACTTCTTCTATAGTTGGTGGTTCTGTGTTTATGTTTAAATAATCTTCTGATGGTTCAGGGTTAGCTATGATATCAGGCTCAGGGCAGTTTAATACCTCTTTGAAATGTTGGACCCACCTTTCTGCTTGATCCTTTTCTGTTTTCAGTGATTTGCCATTTTTGTCGTTTACATGTGCTGTCTGGATATTTGATGTTCCAAAAAGTTGTTTGGTGATTTTGTAAACTGTACTCAGCTCTCCCAGAATGGCTGCCTTTTCTGCTTCTTTTGCTAGGTCCTCCAGATATTGTCTTTTATCTTTTCTACCACTTCTTTTAACTTCTTTGTCTTTTGCTCTGTATGTTACTTGTAGTTGATCTTGTAACCTTTTGAATCTTGCATTTACTGCTTTCTGTTTTATAGTTTTTCTTTCTTCAATTTTTTGCCAGGTTTCCGTTGTTAACCAATCTTTTTTTCTTTTTTGTCTTGTCACCAACTGTCTTTTCTGCCGTCTTTACATAAATATCTTTGATGTTATCCCACTTCTCTTGTACCCTCCCTTCTCCATCATCAGAGTTGTCTAGCACACTAAACCGATTTTTTAATTCTAAGCAAAAAGCTTTCTTGACATTTGGTGACTTCAACCTTTCTGTTTCTAATCTCTTTCTGTTCTGGTTTTCAGTAGGTGCCTTTCTGAATTTTAATTTGATGGTGGCTTTCAGTAGATAGTGATCACTGTTTACGTCTGCACCCCTGAGTACTCGTACATCTCTTAATGATCTACGCCACTTGTTGTTCACCAATATGTGGTCAACCTGGCTGGTTAACTGTTCTTCCATCAGGTGATTTCCATGTTAGTTTATGGATGTTTTTATGCGGAAAGATGGTCCCTCCTATCACCAGTTCATTGCAAAGACAAAGATCGATAGCACGTTCACCATTCTCATTTTTCACCCCGCAACCATGCCTGCCCATGACATTTTCAGCATCAGTGTTGTCTGATCCTACTTTTGCATTACGATCTCCCATTATTACCAGCATGTCGTGTTGAGGTACTTTAGAAATGGCAGTCTGCAGCTGTTCGTAAAAATCATCCTTGGTCTCATCTTCAGCATCATTTGTTGGTGCGTCACACTGTATGATAGAAAGTTTACAGTAGTCTGGGTTAAATCGTGCCGTTACTAATCTTTCACTGATTGGTTCCCATTCTAGAAGTGTTTTGCCTTTTTTCTGCATATATTTATTGCTACACCATTAATATGTCTGTCAGTGTGTCCAGAGTGTAGGATGACATTTCCACTATTTGTTCTAGTCTTTCCTGAGCCAGTCCAACGACATTCGCTCACACCAAGAATGTCCAACATGTAGTGCTGCATTTCATTGATGACCTGTGCAGTCTTTGATGTTTCATACATGGTTCGAACATTCCAGGCTCCTATATGTATTTGTGCTTTAGGCCCTAGAAGACTCACATTCATTTTTCTAGTTTCCACAATAGGGCTTTCACTAGGAGAAGTCATTCCGCTGTTGTTTGAGTCCCCCGTTTAACCTATAACAGAGGGTAATCTAATTTCGTTTGTTGTGGTTTCTGTAACTGTAATAGTTTTTACAGGATAGGGGAATTAACCCCATGCCCAACACTCCAACCTGGAGGACCAGGGAATTTGTGTTCAAGCTAGGTTTCCATCCTCTAGAAGGGCTGCTGTCCTGAGCTAATGAATCCATTCTATCCAGGTTTGTTTTCGAAGTTTACCATCTCCTAGATGAGTTGCCTGACTGGGCTACGACTCTCATTTAACGAGTCCACTGAAATATACACGATTTTGTAAATAACATTAACGGTGACCAATTGTTCTGCACGAGATGCGCCTTTCGGCAATAAATGTCTCTTCAGTGATGCTCGATGTCAACTTTTTTTAAAACCAAAACTTATTTTAAAAAAATGAAGAGCTTATAAACTAAATAAGTTATGAAAGTTGGTATTAAATATGACTGATAATATTTAAGAAATGTAATTAACACCCTTACCTTATCCACCCTTCCTAGTTTTTTGTCTCCCAACGCTCTGCTTTAAATCTCAAACTTTTGAATAATAAAAGCTACTTAAAATGAATTAAATTCCAGTACAGGAAAATCATTTAACTCAATTTACTTAACCTGGCGATATCAAATCATGCCGTCCTATACTCGAATATCTGAGATTGTACTTCAGAAAGGATCTTAAACAGCAACGCCGTACACTAAATGAGGGTAGGATTAATACAATACCTACTGGTGACTGGTTTTCAAGTTCCACTTTTGTGTTGGTCGCTTTCAATCATTGCGATCAATAAAGAGTTGATCATTTCAATCAACTGATTCAATATATTTCATTACAGTCGATGCTTTGCATTTTTGTATTGAGTTGACAGTTGGTGTTCAATCTTGATCAAACGAATCTATAGTTACGATCGAGGCTATATGGGTTTTTTTTATCAAGTTGACAGTTGATGTCAATCATTAGTATGTCGTTACGATAGAGGCTTCCCAATTGTCATTGAGTTGATTGGGTCGATGTATCAACAGATGTAAAAATGAACTGTTGTTGTATATATCGGTTGTCGATTACTGTGTAACTTTTATGTGTCGGTGTAGGGAAGCGAAAGCCTTCATATTCCCGACTGTGTCTTAACCACTGTCAACGACAGCCTATGTACCTTAATTATTCAACTTCTGTTCCTTATTCTTATCTGTTCCATCAACTACGTTTTCCTTTTCTCCGGTATAAGCACAAGGTTAAGTTGAGTTAGATTCCTACCCGTAGGTTCCAAATCTCTACTGATATTGGAGGTCTCTGCTTTCGACTCCTTGTCTTCTAGTGTTAATATATACACATTTTCTAGCCTAAGGATAGATTGGTTTGAAAAGGTGAAAACTTAAAATCAATTTTAAGAACATTGTCATTATTGCATCTATAAAAAGTGGTGTCGATTTTGAGAAATATTGTATGGCTGAAAATTACTTGTGGTTTATTGAAATTTTGCATCAACGAAGAAATATGAAAGATTACACTTTTACGGGAATATTCATGTCTATTTTCTACATTAAAATAGGTGAACGTGATATTTAATTTCTTATAAATTTACATTACATGTTTTATTTTTCAATTTTCGCCATCTTAATGATTATTACTAGTGTACAATGAAAATAAACACCTTTTATATCAGGGAGACTATCTTATATAAAGATGAATGACTCACTTTTGATAAATCAAAGAAGTTGTACATCTCTACAATGCATTTCTTTGGACTACTTTTGGGAATTATCATAATATTTTGTGGTTTGTAATTTTCAATATATTTAGATATTAAGTCTAATTGCATCTACTTTAAATTATACCTGTATTTTAAACTCATTCCATGTAATGTACATTTTATTTGTAATTTTTACTAAAAGATGTTTTTTCAATACCACAGAAAAAACTTTTGATCTAAAATAGGCTATTAACTAAATGTAATATTTAACTTGCAATAGTTTTTCCTTGCATTTTTGTGTATTGAAATTTTAAACAACTTTGTCATTAAACAATGATATTTATTAATCAGTATCTTTATTGTTTTTTTTTTCAATTGTTCCATTTTTCAGAATTATCTTTTGGCCTCGGTAATAGCTTATGCAATGATGCCGCAGCAAGTATTACAGAATGCTCTTGGAAGGCAGGTTTGCTTCTTGATCGTTCCACATTTATTCTTGAAAGTCAACCCTATTTCACTGTGTGTACAATAAGGTAAGTTTAGTAGTGTAAATAACGAAATAACGTTATGTTATCATACAGAAATAATAAAATTTCAATATTAAAAAAGATAAAAAAAAATTTAAAAAAAATTCTGATGAAAATGAATTCTGATCTTAAAGGCATTTATGAAGTGCCACCCCAAATGATATTTCTTTAGCTTATTTAATAACATAACGATAAAACCCGAAATATAAAAACAGACATATCAAAGCAAATATTGACTTACCAGTGAAAATCAGGACAAAATATCATAAAAAATCATTTATCAGTGGACATCAAACCACAAATCAGCAATATAAATCCACCACGATTTTGATATCATTAAAATCATTTTGCAGTCGTATGACCAGGCTATCCCAATGCTACGAGAATGTTACTGACAGTTGCCCAGACTACCGGGGTGATGGACCACAATTGATGGACAAAACCGCATATAAAGCATTCTTGATTGGGACATGCTTAAACCAATATGGTAAGTGAAAACGAAAGGTTGTACATGTATTTTATCAAAATATTAATGCTTTAGAACAAAAATTTTTTTTATATTAGTTATATGATTTTTGTTTTCATGAAAATTAATTCTTCAAGCACAACTGACACATATCATATCAACTTTTAAAACTGTCTATTGTATCCTGTAGTTGTAAAACTGTCTATTGTATCCTGTAGTTGTAAAACTGTCTATTGTATCCTGTAGTTGTAACACTGTCTATTGTATCCTGTAGTTGTAAAACTGTCTATTGTATCCTGTAGTTGTAAAACTGTCTATTGTATCCTGTAGTTGTAAAACTGTCTATTGTATCCTGTATTTGTAAAACTGTCTATTGTATCCTGTAGTTGTAGAACTGTCTATTGTATCCTGTAGTTGTAACACTGTCTATTGTATCCTGTATTTGTAACACTGTCTATTGTATCCTGTAGTTGTAAAACTGTCTATTGTATCCTGTAGTTGTAAAACTGTCTATTGTATCCTGTAGTTGTAAAACTGTCTATTGTATCCTGTATTTGTAAAACTGTCTATTGTATCCTGTAGTTGTAGAACTGTCTATTGTATCCTGTAGTTGTAACACTGTCTATTAGTTGTAACACTGTCTATTGTATCCTGTAGTTGTAACACTGTCTATTGTATCCTGTAGTTGTAACACTGTCTATTGTATCCTGTAGTTGTAACACTGTCTATTGTATCCTGTAGTTGTAAAACTGTCTATTGTATCCTGTAGTTGTAAAACTGTCTATTGTATCCTGTAGTTGTAAAACTGTCTATTGTATCCTGTAGTTGTAGAACTGTCTATTGTATCCTGTAGTTGTAAAACTGTCTATTGTATCCTGTAGTTGTAAAACTCTCTATTGTATCCTGTAGTTGTAACAATGTCTATTGTATCCTGTAGTTGTAACACTGTCTATTGTATCCTGTAGTTGTAACACTGTCTATTGTATCCTGTAGTTGTAGAACTGTCTATTGTATCCTGTAGTTGTAAAACTGTCTATTGTATCCTGTATTTGTAAAACTGTCTATTGTATCCTGTAGTTGTAGAACTGTCTATTGTATCCTGTAGTTGTAACACTGTCTATTAGTTGTAACACTGTCTATTGTATCCTGTAGTTGTAACACTGTCTATTGTATCCACTGTCTATTGTATCCTGTAGTTGTAAAACTGTCTATTGTATCCTGTAGTTGTAGAACTGTCTATTGTATCCTGTAGTTGTAAAACTGTCTATTGTATCCTGTAGTTGTAAAACTCTCTATTGTATCCTGTAGTTGTAACACTGTCTATTGTATCCTGTAGTTGTAACACTGTCTATTGTATCCTGTAGTTGTAACACTGTCTATTGTATCCTGTAGTTGTAAAACTCTCTATTGTATCCTGTAGTTGTAAAACTGTCTATTGTATCCTGTAGTTGTAACACTGTCTATTGTATCCTGTAGTTGTAACACTGTCTATTGTATCCTGTAGTTGTAAAACTGTCTATTGTATCCTGTAGTTGTAAAACTGTCTATTGTAGTTGTAAGAAACAAGGATCAGGAGACAAAACCATCATTAGTGTGTTAAAAGCTTGAATTATCATTTCACCAAACAAGCTATGATATAATGTACCGTTAATGCAACCTTTTTTATTTCAGTATATGAAGAGGGTTTGTTATGTATTGGAAATAAGCTACCGGAAATGAAAACATATGTCAACCAGAATTGTCTTTCTTCGCAGTTCTATTACGATACTGTATGGGATGCATACATAGAAATGGGCGACTGGAATTGGCAAAAGTTTTGTAGGTAAGTTTAATGTTAAATAATAGAAAGTTAGACTTTAATCTATTCATAACTTTTGGGAAGTTTCCGTTTTTAAAGCTCTATAACTTCGTATTTGATTGGGCTTTCCGACTGTTTTAATTAGAGCGCCACTGATGAGTTGTATGTACACGAACAGCACGTCTGGTGTACACAATTATTAGCCTGGTATCTTTAATGAGTTTTTATAACCACTATAGAGTCGATGCAACTGCTAATGAACGTTTCGTCCCCGAAGGTATTACCATCCAAGTAGTCAGCACTGTTGTGTTGACATGAAATATCATTTTCTGTAAATGTACTGTTTACAAAATTTTGAATTATTCGAAATACTAAGGTTTTCTATCCCCAGGTATAGGTTGCCTTATCCGTCGTAATTTATTTGGCTTTCCAACTATTTTAATTCGAGCATATAATACATGCCACGGGATGTTTAACACCAATCTATCATCATGATCATCATCTTCTGTAAAGCTAAAATTTCTCTTTTTGTGTGTGTTTTTTTTTCGTTTCAGATTGGTTATTCAGGGTATCGAATGTTCTGTCAACAAATCGACTGAGTACGGATGTTCCGATGAGTTTCGTGATATGTTGATATATTCATCGTATGTCCGTTTACCAATTGAGTGTCGTGAACCGAATTCAACAAAATTGAAATGGCTTGACATTTACCAGGAAATACCAGACAGCCTTCCCGAGCCACCAGACAATAATTCTTCTACTCTGTCTAGTTATTTCTCGACATGCTTAATTATAATATCCAGTCTGTTTTTGTTTTGCATAGTAAAATACACCAGTGCCTGAAGATTCTTAAATATCAAAATGATCGTTCATGTCTATCTAATGTTGTTTAAGATTTTTACATTTATGTCAAATCTTCACGAACTACAAAAAAAAAGAAAATAAACAATACGTGCTTTTTTTCAAATAAAAGGAAAGAAAACTTAAATATGTTTTCAGTGTCTTGTCACTTATTACCATTGTATTATAACTTTTAAGCTAATTTACGTAATTAGAAACTAAAGTTCCAAAACCATCAGACATGACCTATTACAATGCTACATGACCTATTACATGGCTACATATTTTTCCTTACCTACCTTCCTTCTCCAGTGGCGGTAAAATTTCTCATATTTCATCTATTTCAAACTTGACGAAATGATTTTTTGTATTTGTTCTCGTCCTGGTTAGGTTTTGTTTGAATAGCAAGTGATCATCAGTTTCTTGAGACAGATGTGTGCATGTAGGCATGCCTTTAAGACATAAGTTAGCTAATATACATACCAAAAACAACGATAAGGAACTACATGCATTGCTCTACAAAATATTTCTTCAAAATGTTGCTGAATGTTATAGCCAAGTAAGATAATGTTTTATTGCCCGTGAGACAATTATCCATCGTAAGGTAAGCCACATATGCCCCCCTTGTTTCCTCCTACCCCGTAATGACAATGTGAAACAAATAAATCAACGTCCTGATGTATGCTAAAACAGTATACGAAAGACAGTAACCAATTACAATCACTGATTAAAACCTATGCTTGGTACATGCATGTCGAAAGAATGTGACGGATTTAAACATGTCTTTGAACACTGAATCCCCTAACCTGGGACAGTAATGAACACAACATAAGAACAAACTGTATATATCAGTTGGAAAAGGCATGACTCGTCAGTTCGGTGCCAGGCAAAAAAATAAACAGCAGCAACAAAAAACAAATGACTAAAGACACAAAGTATCGATCTAAGAGTAGTTGCAGTTTCTGAAAGTAATAAAAGTTTCCAGGACTAAAATGTCAATTAGTACATCACAACGAATTCAGTATAAAGACGTCATATATGCAGTCTGAGAAATGGATGACCCTGGGTAATGCCAAATTATCGACAGGGTGTGGTCTTTAAAGCTGAATAGCAATAAATTTTTATAGATTAAAACTTTTAAAAAAAAAAGTTAGTGTACAATGTAGAGTGTAAGTTCAAACGAGAAAACTTGCGGCCTGATTTATATATTACACGGAAAACATATAAGACAGACAGCAACTAGCGACAAACACTGAATTCATGATATGACTTGGGACAGACAACGAAAGAATGTTGTAGGGTTTAACATGCGTGTTAGCGTATAATCCTCTCCTTACCCACAGGACAGTGGTGTAACTGGACAACGTTAGTGCAAACCGGAAAAATCTGTTGAAAGCTAGGGTTACATTGACTCGAAGTCGCGACAAAATCAACATAGTTCAAAGAATACAAACAAAGTACCAATCTAAGAATACTATAATAGTCTCGGATCATAAATAACCGCGAAGGATATGATCTGCGGGGGCAAAAAGTATACAATATACAATAATATTGTATTGACTAAAAAAGTGCCCTCATGAGAGCAGAATAATTACAGTTTACTTATCGCTACAAAACACACAATGCTAAACATGATTTCAACAAGGATTTGATTTCACTATACAAATCCTTGATTTCAATGATTAAGTAGATTAATAAAATAACATATATTCATTTATAAAAGAAAAACTGCATTTGATATACTGGTGAATAAAAACATTAAAAAACAGATTCCACTTGGAACACAAAATTTACACAAACTACATTTTCAATGCTTTTTACGTCCATTTAAAAGTTAATTTGTATGTTAGAAGCAGTTTTCCAGATTTTTAAGTTGATAACGGGCTTATAAACATTAAATACTACGAGAAACAGGGGGTTGGTGGATAGGGGAAAGTTAACCTTCTGTAGCGAATTCTACAAAATCTACAAAAAGTTCCTTTTAACGTACGATGTAGAGTGACATTCTCTAAATACATACGGGTCCGCAGACAGACTCTCCGTATTAAAATATTACTGTAAACGAGAAACTAATGAGAGGAACAAAGTAAAGATAAAATGTTAATGCAGAATTATGTCCACATGTAGAAAATCCGCAAAGAGGACGATCTCTCATTTAGTATGCAACAGTTACTGTAATTAATGACTGACATAGCCTTCGGCTGTGTTCTGCTCTTTGGTCGGGTTGTTGTCTCTTTGACACTTTCCCCATTTCCATTCTCAATTTTACAATAATGAATGTAAATTTATATACTAACTATTAAAATAATCTACGTGTACTTCTCAGAATAATTGCACATCTGTAGATTTTAAACTAGCCATCCGAATTCATGCGTCAAATAGACCATCGCACATCAGCGAACGGACCATCGCGCTTCGGTGTAGACCATCGCACTTCAGCGTGACCATCGCACTTCAGCTTCACCATCGTACTTCCGAGTCCTACATATATATATGTGTGTATAATATACACGTCTAAACATGTGACAACTTTATGACAGACAGTCTCAATCGGATAACACGTGGTTATACAGGGCTAACACCAATATATATATATACATATATAATTCGTCTCGAGTCAAATTTAGCCCAACAATGTACCTCGGATAACGCAAATTTTTGTTCTTCCCTCAGCGGGATTCGAGCCCTTGCTTCTCTGGCATCGTGGCTAAATATAATTCAAAAACTTGTATATGATATCTATGTCTTCGTTGCTTAAAAGTCAAATTAGTTTGTTTTCATCAGAAAGTTTATTAAAATTCTTATCATATCCTGCTACTGATGAAATCCTACAATAAAGCTTCAAACACTTATATATATATATATATTTTATTCAAGATAAAAAGGCATGAATTTGACAGATACAAAATATTACAAAGACACAGATACAGCACTAGACATAGTTTATAGACACTAAAATGATATACATGTTTACTAAAAATTTTAAATTAAGAAATAAAAAATAAAATTATGAAAATTTTCATGATATTTTGATAATATGATTAGACTAGATTAAAAATGAGTGACATTTAACTTGACTAGATTTTACACTGTAGCCTAATATCTTAGGATGACCCACAAAAGTTAGTAAAACTTATTTCCAGTGGGGTCCTTTTGTTGTCACTTGAAGTTTAAAAGTAAAACCCTTCCTTTAATCAAAGATTTTCTCCGTCTACTACTTGAAATTTAAACCATATAGTTAACAATTCAGTCGAAACTCGTACGTTCATTTCATGAATTTACAGAATGTGGTTCGTTGTAGTATCTTTACTATTGGTTATTAGTTATAAGTTAAATGATTCCGAAGTAGGGCAATCTGAAACGTGTCATTTCGGTCAATATTTACTTCTTTTTTATCAGATTTACATTATTTTGCATCAAACTGATTTTATATTTTATAACACCATTGGTGTTTACATAAAATAAACTATATTTATAGATGAAAATATAGGCTGAAGATTTTTTTTTATTAGCACGTAATGAATATTTACTGCGAGGTATTGTTTACCCTTAGCAACGGCAATTTTTAATGGTGGAAATGTGATATCTTTTTTTTTTCTTGTTTATATAGGTAAAATGCTCATACTATATCAAAACTGGAATGACGTAGTAATATGTTTTATCTGTAGTAAAGATTACTGTATTGCATTTCGTCATTATGTCATAAATTAGGTGGACATAACACCATACACAAAAAAATACGCAAAAAGAACGGACCCTTTATGAAAGACTTCACATTTGACTAAAATCGGCCTTCTTTATTTAGGGTCCCAACCCATAAAGAGCTATACTACACTAATCCTTACCCTATAGCTAATCGTAACCCTATAGCTAACCGTAACCCTATACCAAACCCAAACCATGCATATACATAAGTTATAACCAATATTAAACTCTACTAACCCCAAATCCTTACCACCATAGAACAAACCCCAACTTAACTCTAACCGTAAATAAACCTTATTGCTATATTTGAATCTGCAACACTTGAAAAATTGATGTTCTACAGCAATCACTTCTTCTTAGACAAATATCGTGTTGCTTCTATGAATAAGTTACACCGGTTAACTTGATATGTCATTGTACACCAATCTCAAATTGTTTTTATGAATTAGTTACACCAGTTGACCGAGGTCAATTGGCGTAAATGATGTCATTAAACAATTGGTTCTTACTGTGATGTAATAACATAAGCATTGTGACATAGGAAATTTACGGGAAAGTGCACGAATTCGTAAGTCGTCTATTAGCCTGGATGTTGTCAATGAACAATCAGTTATTACTGTAATATACAGGGTTTCAGCTGGCGATCGGCACTTTTGCATTTTGCAAAAATATAAAAATTGTGCCGATTAAAATTCATTATTGGCGAAAGAAATATAACGGTTCGTTGTACGTCTTGTTTATATTTATTGGACTTTTTCCCGGACTAGACAATAACTGGGATTTCACCTTGAACTCGTCACACATTACGATTTTGACAGAAAATCAATAATCAGCTGATTGTATTTTAATATTGCTGCCGGCAACAATAGATTAATTAATAAAGGTGTTGATTATATTGTTTAATGAAATTGTGTTGTTAAATGGCTTCATGTGTCACATAAAGGATTTTTTACGACTTTGATAGGAATAATTGTTTTGAAGTGGGGATTTTTATGATGCACACGTTTGGAGCATAGTTTTATGTTTCAACTTTTATTTGACGATGGTGCGGGAAAGAAAACTGTTATTATGAAATTGTTAAAAGAAAAATCTTTGACTTTAGCCTCTATCCTTCAATTTAGATGGGCAGTATCTGATAAACTTACTGTAAATTCAGAAATTATTGCGTGCATTTAATATTGCGATTTTTCAAGAATGGAAAAAATGCGAGTTTTATTATTGCGATTTCGAAAAAAAGTGCATACATGTCTATATTTCAGTTTTCAGAATGCGAGTTCTTATTATTGCGATACTCACCCAGTCGCATTATTCGCATTTATAAAAACCTCGCAATAATTTATGAATTTACAGCATTGAAGATGAATCCCGTGTCCCCAGAAGTCAAATATGATGATTTCCCGATTTATGCAATTTTACAGTATCTTTTAAAAAGTAATTGAGTGTTTATTTATTACAATGTACATTGAGGATTAAGAAATAGATGTGTAGAATTATAATAGATTAGACAACAATGCTGCGAACTGATGTTAAGTAGGAAAATGTGAAAAGAAAAATATGTTTAAGTAAGTTGGCGAAAAAAAATGAAAGTGGCAAAAAATATTGTTTTGGGTAAAAAGAAAATTGACCCAGGGAAAACCCAACATAAGCATTGTGACATGAAATGTAAAGTCAAATTTTACGGGAAAGTTGTGATGTCCATTAATGGGATAGAAATAGCGATACGGTGTATTAACTTTAACCCTAGAGTACAGGGACCGCTAAAAAGTAGACACAGAAATCATTAACTGAGACACCACTTTTACTAAGTGGTGAAACGATTCACCTTAGAATTGATGAACAATTGTTTTGCCTGGTTCAAATTTAGATTAAATTCATCTGTATTTCAGTTCAAGTCTGGATAAATTCCAATTGTCATAATTTTTTATCAGCCAATCAAAACTTGTGTTACAAATTGTTTCATATTGAATGTCTCTATGAAAATGGCTGGCATATGAATGGGTTCTAATGTTGAATGTTGGTTGAATAAATATTTAAAATCTTTTAGCTACACAAAAGGAACAACAAGTTAAATAAACAAAAAAAACAGAACAAAGGTAGTTAGCTTTAAGACTACATATGTACGTGTGTACATGCATAATAATTCAGTGTTTGGTCTTGATTATGTATCATATCGAAATGAATTGTAACATCACTACATGTAACTGGGAAGATTTTCAAAATAACATTAGTTCTGTGCTAGATTTCTTATTCCTGGGAAAAAAATCAAGGGTTCTAAGTAATCACTTAAAGGATTCTCATTCAAGAGCAGTTTTCTGATTTTAGCTGTTCACAAAATTCCTTTAAACACTATTTTGGAAATTTTTACCACCCATCAGACCTCAAACAGGCACATTTTACACAGACAGCAGTAGAGCTCTTTATTTGTACCAATTGTCCATATTTCGACAACATTTCTAGTTAAAATATGTATGATGGTTAGCAGACAAAATTCTACTGTTTATCTCCCAACTGGAAAATAAATGTGTTTTTTCTGAAATTATTATAAAATTGTGTCGACCAGTGTTAAAGGACGCTTGTATTATACATGTAGAAATCAACATTATTTGAATTGCTTTTCTGACTGCAGCTAGACATCCAGTGTCAGAAATATCTTATGATGAAGCAAACGGTCATGAAAAGGACAATGGAAAGAATTTGTGGTCGTAAAGATGACATGGAAGCTTAGAATAAGCTTAAAATAAATGACCAAATATTTGCATAAGTACAAAGAATCCTTACATTTTCTTTATATATGGTGTTTAATGTCTTCAGAAAGGGGAGAACACAAAATCAAGTGCACGACTTCAGTTGCAGTAACACAGGCAAACAGAACTGCTTTTGACTTTGTGGTATAAAAATATTGTTTTCACAGTGAGTTACAGATGTAACAATACTTAAACTAATTTCTCAATTTTGTTTCACAATGAAAGATGGATTAAATAAATTGAATGGAATAAATGTTTTCTGCATCTCTAATACATCACTCAAACGGCGTATTTCTCAGGTGAGCATAATGATGCTCACCTCAATTTCTCACCTAATTTGCATGTTACAAATCATGTGCAGCTCACCTGAGCCGCACATCATAATCTTACCTGAGCATCTCGTGTGCAAATTGTGAGAAACAATTGGTAAGGGCAGTGAGAATGCAGGAAATTTTCAAAAAAAATCTGGGGGCATGCTCCCTTACCCCCCTGGAAGATTATTCGCAATGCTCACTTGTGACACTTCTTACACATACATATACCTCAAAATATTGACAGAAAGGATGCCAACCACTGATGGTGACTACTAAATGGGATAACAGCTCTGCAGCATCATTCCTTAAACTGAAACAGATTTTAGTGCATTTAATTCACCTTTTGCTTATATTTTTATTCTAAAAGAATTTTAAATTGAAGTTCTGAGTCATCATGAGCATTTTTACAATTTGGTCACAAGTAATGGTCAGAAATAAACCAAAATGTTGTTCAAGCCTTTGGACATGTTAGACACTGAGTACTGAGTACAATTTTAAATTATCCTCATTCTGGTTTTGAAGATGCAAGTGGAAATTATGATGCTTAATTGACCCTCTTATGTTCCCCTGCATCAATTTATTAATGGAAAAAAAAACGTGTCATTTCTAGTCATTATAATGACCGCATGAAAATTAATGACTCTTTTGTTTATTATGAAAATAAAAAGAGTTTAATTCTGACCTAATTAGTAAATTCAAGCAGTTTTATTTTGAGTTGTTACAGGCAAGTTTTGAGTATAAAACTTGATTTGAATTAAATATATATATATATGACAAAACTTTGTGCTTATAATTTCTGTTATTTTGTAGGTTAGGGAACTGTGATCATGGCGGCGACGTTGCCGCCCATAAACAACAGAGGGCAGAATGGTGTTGGGAATAGAAATGTTTTTATGCCCACTCCACCTAGAGGCCCACCTAGTGGCAGATTACAGCCTATTAAGGTACCAGGCAAAGCTGAAAGGGATTTGTTTTTTAAGCAAGAAAAATTAAGACAACAACAACCTGAATTGAGCAAAAAGCAGACCACAAGGTACTTATTATTCATATTGTTTTATATATATTAATTACCAGCAAAAATCTTATCAAACCAAACTTAAATACTGCTATAAGTATTTATCAATTTAATCACCACTAAATTTTACTACAATTGATATGAATAAAAGGAGATATGTAGGTACGTATATATGTCAATGAAATAGTAACTTACTGTATTCAACAATAGACTGATTTCTATACCATAACCAAAACATCTTAATCTCCACTGAGGCAAATTAATAGTCTTTTCCAAAACAACAAAATTATATAACATCAAATTTGAATTTACAGTCTTTTCTTTCCAGAAAAAGTTGATAGACAGTTTGTATTTACAATTATCTCATATGTTAATAGGTTCAGAAATTCATATAAACATAACTTGTGTTTGGACATGCTACAAGATGGATATCATAAATCATTCAGTGAACTTTTTGCACTTATAAAACAACAAGAAGAAGAAAGACAAAGACAAGGTGAAGAGTCATTGATGTGGACAATGGTCATGTTAAAAGACCAACATGAAAAACTGGACATGTTAAAACAACATTTGTGTAAAGCCGAAGAAGCTGAAAGAAAAGGTATACAAACATTGAAATTTTAGGAATTTCAAATGTGACTAATGCTGTATTCTTGATTAAAAGAGCTTTTGTTGTGTCTTTTTTTAAGTGAATGTTAGAATATTGTTAACATTACTATGACACTTTTAAAGATGGTATTTTTCTGAGTCCAGACTCAATGTATTTGATTGATATTTAGACTATACATTGTATATATTTAGGTTTCCAATACCGGTATATGTTGAAGAGCTCAATTTTCATTTTACTGTTCATCTGTATTGAAATTTTTATTGAAAGCTGGTCTAAGCTGGTTTTGGCTGGCTCCGTGTTGAAGGCCGTACTTTGACCTATAATGGTTTACTTTTACAAATTGTGACTTGGATGGAGAGTTGTCTCATTGGCACTCATACCACATCTTCTTATATCTATTTGCTTGTTTGGTCAGTTCAAATCAAGATGTAACAAGAATTTAATAATAGTATATAAGGCAATGCCAATTGCGTCACAGAATATTAAGGCAGAAGACAAAAATACCTGTGTTTTGGCTTAACTTGCCTACCTTAAGATTTTTTTGTAACTTTTGAACAAACACTATTGAAGTCAGATTGTTTCCCCTGTTTGAAAAATAAGAGTTTGAAATACCATGATTTAAGATATTAAGTCCTGAGACTATAAAGAAATTAACAATGGTAAAGGATAATTTACTCTTATGAACTCATGCAGTTATCGGTGATTATTGTTTAGTGTGATTTTTACAGGTGATTTTGGTGAAGTATACAGAAGTAGATATGAACTTGCCAGGTATTTTCAATCAGGGGGAGATAAGTGGTTGGCTGATCATTTTTTTACAACTTGTTTACAAACCAGTGCCCAGGTCAAAGGTGATAATGGAAAAACACAAGCACAAGGATATTTAAATGTTGGATTAGCTTTAGAGGAACAAGGTAATTATGCAAGCTATAACTCATTTTATTGTTTACAGATAAAAGATTTAATGTAAATGTGGATGAATTGACAAAAACAGCAATACCTTTGAGAAGAGGTCATGGGAATATAGATGTACATGAGACAAAATTTCCATGATATGCTGGGAAATAATTATTAATGTAGCACATGTATATTTACAAAAAAAACATCTAAAGCACTGTTTTGGGGCTATTTATTGCTTTTTTTTTTGCTTTTTTTTTGCTTTTTTTTGCATTTTTTGCCTGATAAGTTATTAAAATAGTTACATATGAGCAAAAGAAAAATTACGTAATTGCTGTCTTGTAATCAAAACTATGGAATTATACAATAGATTTTATGTTTTTTTTTTCCCCAACGAAACAAAACCATTTTATAGACATGCATAAATGGTTGTTGATTTGCAAAGACAGTTAATTCAACTTCATGCAATATGGTTTCATGATACATTGTACATGTAAATTTAACAAATTCATTTACTCATTGTTTGTGCACATTGAGTAAAAAAAACATGCACACAAATCAAAAACCAAATATGGTAAGAAATGACTAGTATTGTGGGTTTTGCAATTGGTTCAAGTTGATGCATACACAATGACAGAATACTAAAGTAAACTTATTTTACAAGGGGATTATATATTTTGAATACAGCATATTGACATAAGGGGAGAGTAAAATTACTATTCAGAAATATTAATGTTATATGGTAATTTTGATTTCCATAAAGTTTTTTTTTTACTCACAGGAGATGTTTTATCAGCTGCTGAACATTTTGAAGCTTATTATAAACTTTCTGTGGACCATAGAGAATGGATACAGGCAGATAACTTAACATTCCACACAGATGCTTGTATCAATTTGTGGAGGATTTATTCTTCAATAGCTGCTAGTATAGAGGAGGAAGATTCACAAGAATCTTTAGATTATTTGATAAAGGCCCTCAAGTTAGCTACAGAAAGTAAGTTTTAAACCAGGGTTGCATTCAATATCGTAGCAGCTCATATAGCAGCTGTGTCTTATATATCTATCTATGTTGAACGATATGCTATGTAGCTATGCTATCCAATTGACGTCGTCGATAATAACCTATCCGCCGCCATTTTGGATTCTCTAGATAGTATGAATTGCTTAAGCTATATAGATCTATTTAGCAGCCAGACTAGCTATACGTTCAGTAGTCAAAATCTACGTAGCCCTACATAGCAGCTATGATATTGAACGTACCCCTGTCCATTTCAATAGTCAATAATTTGTCTGCATGAACTCAAATGAATTTCAAAATGAACCATATATTACCGATGATTAATTTGTAGTATGTAAAAAGTTTATTATTTTTTATACTTATATTTTGTAACGTGTCAACTGTCATATGTACAATGAGTATAAAAATAGAATCATGTGCAAAACAGTGTAGCTGAGACCAATGTTCATCTGTAACGCCCACAACTCACGACGTATTTATTATAAACATTTAAACTGTGGGGTTGCCAAAGGGTCTCAGTATATATACGAACTACAGTGCACAGTATATTATATACATATTTTATTTGCGATCATAAAAGTACGAAGTCGTCCATTACTATGTAAATTGGGTCGATTAAAAAAAAAGCTGAATATGTTTCTGTTGCCAAGGGTTTTTCACAAGTATAGTAGTTAGCAGAAAAGTTCACCAAACTATACATTTTACCTATTCAAAAACGTTAATGCAAATTCCACAAGGCTTGATCCAAATAGCCTTTTTATTGTCTAATAACTTGCAAATACGAAAAAGACAGGACAGAAGTATATTTTGTCTATATGTTTTGTGTACGCACACTTTTTAAAGTTGATCATGCATTCGTTCTAAAATAAAATTTTGACCAGATAAAAGTTAAAAGATGACATAATTGGACAACCGCAATTGTTAAATCGCTTTGACGTCCGAAAAAAAAGATAATAATCAACATATGCATCGTAACTTTTAAAGCCAGTTAATCCTTTTTCTTTTGCTGAAAGAACGTGCGATATCATAAAAATTGATTATCAAAAGATAAAGAAAACACAAGTAAAGAACGTTTAAGTATTCAATATAAATCAAAACACAAAGGTTATTCCTGATTAGTTTTTCGAATTATTTTATTTAGGCGCTGAGACCCTTTGGTGACCCCACAGTTTAAATGTCTATAATAAATACGTCGTAAGTTGTGGGCGTTACAGACGAATGTTCACCTAATCTCACCCAGTCAATGGGATATTTTAGCCTGCCAATCAATGGTCTCGGCTACACTGTTTTGCACATGATTCTAAGTGTATAAAATATGAAAACAACACGTTATAAATTTCATACGTCCAAAGTGCTTTTTCTGGATTTACCTTCATCAGGAATGCTCAAATAATGTATGATAACAAACTGGAAACAAATCAATGACTAAAACATTCAAGTAAATAGGAAATAATAGTTTCCTCTATTTATCTACACTTGTCCTTACATACTATGGTATAATCAAGAGGTATTGTTTATATAAATGCGACAGAGTTGTAATTTATTGTTTTGTATATTTTAGGTCAAGACAAAGAGTTACAAGGTATAGCATCATACAGATTAGGGCATGCTTATGAACAGAATGGAGATGGAGAGACTGCTCTATTGGTTGGTATTTTACCTCTTCTTACCCAGATTTCTTTGTTCTTTTATCTGTCAGACAAATTGGAAGTATTGAGGAATTTAAACACATTTGAATAAAAGCAAGTCTTTTTAGCTCACCTGACCTGAAGGGCCAAGTGATTTTTTCTCATCACTTGGTGTCCGTCGTCGTCGTTAGCTTTTTACAAAAATCTTCTCCTCTGAAACCACTGGGCCAAATTTAACCAAACTTGCCCACAATCATCATTAGGGTATCTAGTTTAAAAAATGTGTCCGATGACCCCGCCAACCAACCAAGATGGCGGTCATGGCTAAAAGTAGAACATAGGGGTAAAATGTAGATTTTGGCTTATATCTCTAAAACCAAAGCATTTAGAGTAAATCTGACACAGGGTAAAACTGATTATCAGGTCAAGATCTATCTGCCCTGAAATTTTCAGACAAGTCTGACAACCTGTTGTTGGGTTGCTGCCCCTGAATTGGTAATTTTAAGGAAATTTTGCAGTTTTTGGTTATTATCTTAAATATTATTATAGATAGAGATAAACTGTAAACAGCAATAATGTTCAGCAAAGTAAGATCTACAAATAAGTCGTCATGACCAAAATTGTCAGTCGACCCCTTTAGGAGTTATTGCCCTTTATAGTAAATTTTTAACAATTTTTCGTAAATTTTTTGTAATCTTTTACAAAAATCTTCTCTGAAACAACTGAGACAAATTTAACCATACTTGGCCATAATCATTATTAGGGTTTCTAGTTTAAAAAATTTGTCTGATGACCCCGCCTTCCAACCATCATGGCTGACTTGGTTAAAAATAGAACATAGGGGTAAAATGCAGTTTTTGGTTTATATCTCTGAAACTAAAGCATTTACAGCAAATCTGATAGGTGGCAAAAATGTTCATCAGATTTAGATTTATCTGCCCTGAAATTTTCAGACAAATCCGACAACCCGTTGTTGGGTTGCTGCCCCATAGTTAGTAATTTTACAGAAATTTTACAGTTTTTTGTTATTATCTTAGATATCATTATAATATCTAATATCTAATACTATTAATTATGATTTTAACCTTATTTTACATGATTTCCAAAGCATCAGTAAATACAGGTGAGCGACACAGGCTCTTGAGAGCCTCTAGTTTGTACTGCTTTAGCGCAGGATGACAATATTATTATTATACATATAGATATAATGATTTATTGAACAACATTTTACATATGCAGGTCAGGTAAAAGACCAGAATCATTTCAAGTGCTACATACATTTCCACTTGACCAGTAAAAAACAACATATTTTATTACAATAAGAAAAAAACTGCTCAATTTTTATTTCCTCCACATTCATTCAGTTACTGGAACAAAAATTATATTTTTGTCTAATAAAGTCTTGTTTATAACTCTTTTTGTTAGGTGTAGCAACATGAAAATTAAGTAACTGATTTTTTATGAAGTTGATTATCTAAATGTTCCTCTGTGCAAACAAGTATTGATTTGAACATGTGGTCAATGTCTATTATGTGTAAGAATAATTTATATAAATGAAATATAGGTCATTTTTCAAATAGACACAATATACAGAATCCTTGATGTTCGTTTTATGTTACTTAAAATCAGCAGGTCTATTGTACCTTTATTTTTATAGTAATTATGCTTTATTCTTAAAAATTTATTCTTTGAATAGAGTTTTACTTTCTTATTACTATAAAGCATACTCGTTTTCTCATTTGAATTGTTTTACATTTGTCATTTTGGGGCCTTTTATAGCTGACTATGCGGTATGGGTTTTGCACATTGTTGAAGGCTGTACAGTGACCTAAAGTTGTTAACTTCTATGTCATTTGGTCTCTGGTGTAGAGTAGTCTCATTGGCAATCATTGCCCACATCTTCTTATTTTTTTTATCAGTATAGTAATTTGTTTTTTCTATGTACACTGTATGTATAGGAAGTAAACAAAGTGGAATCAGCTGATTTTTTTTCATTTCATAAGTCAAGGAAATGAGTTGTGTAATTGTTTTCCATTTGATTGTTGCATGTACTGTGCATTATTTGGTTGTTGGTTGATAGTTGTCTTTAATTATTGGAAGTCGTACCACATCCTATCTTTATATTAAGGTTTTAATTTATTTATTTTTCAGCATTTAAATGAATATTTGAAAATTTGTACAGCTGAGAGTGACAGTGAAGGAATTGGTAAAGCTTGTGATGCAATCGCAAAGGCTTATGCAAAGTAGGTTTTGTTTTTAACTAGAGTTATCTCCCATACAATGTGCCTAAACATCATGACATTACACACTATTTTCAAGAATGTATGAAACAAAAAATAAGCTGAACTAAAAATTTAAAATTGTTTATACATTTAATTTTCTTATTTGTGAATTGAACACATATCTAGACCAACTAATATACAAATGCAACAACATTAACAGGATGAAGTATTCGTTAAAATAGTTCATACGGCCTGGCCAAAATATTTCATCATGAAAATTGACTGTAATTAATATACCGATTCTTCATAAAAATGGGAAGATCTTGATTTTGTCTTAGAATTGTTCGACTTTTGCTAGATTTTCCATCTATTATTAAAAACTTCAAATTAAACATATCAGAAATACAGCAATTCAAGATTTTACTAGTTAGATTACCCCACACTTATCTGATTATGATACATTGGCAATGGAGGAGAATATGTTTTTCACATTGATATAATTTATTTTACAGACAAGGTAAAGTTGAAGAAAGTATCACCTACCTGAAGAAATTTGTTGAAGTCGCTGAGAAAAGTGGAGAGGAAGTGGCTCTTAGCAAAGCTTGTCATAACTTAGGAAACATATTTAATTCTCTGGTAAGCTGAACATTGTTGATATTAAATTGAATTTCACATGTATTTTTTTTTCTTTAAAAATGTAATTACCTTTGTGGTCTTTTGTAGCATTCTTTTTGAACATATAAAGTTGAGGGTTCAATCCCTCAGTGTAGGTTCTAACCATATATTCTTGAGAACTGGTATTGTATTTTTCTCTGCTAAGGACACGGCATAAGCATTGGTCTATAATGTGCCGTAAGGTAACATGTCTTTATGCAAACTCATTAACTTAATAAAATCTGACTCAGCATGTTGTTCACTCATCAATACCATTATACATTTTCTTATTTATTTTTTTTAGGGTCGATATTCAGAGGCAACAGAATATTTCAGTAAATCTTACAATTTGTCACGGTCCCTGGGAGACAAAGAAGCCATCAGTACAAACAGGGTACAGTTTGGTATTGCTATGGCCCACAAGATGATGAAAGGATTAGACAGTCACACAGTAATGGGAACTCGTCCTGCGTTGGAAAGATTGATCGAATGGAAGAATGCTAGAGTTGATGATTTTGAAAAACCCTTCCCAGAACCTAGTAAGTTTCAGTTTCTCTACCAGTTTTCTTATACACTTTTTCCATTTGCCATTCTGTTTTTAAAAAAAATTATAGTTTAGAAAAAATATAGATGTCACTTATTTTTACATTTTATTGTAAAGGATTTTATTAATGTTTTACATTTTGATATATCTGTAAATATATATTATATATCTGTTAAATATGTTGAAATATCTACTGTATAAAATAAATGTAGTTTATTTATGTGTGAAAATGGAAAGTCTTGCTTATCTTTAAAAAAAGTAAGCTATCACATGTGTGAATTTCTCTTAATTAAATTTCTATTCACATCATTTTCAATATCATAATGTTGAAAAGCAGTATTTTCGGTTAAAATATAAATGTATACATAGCCAGTAGAACATATTTTCAAGTGAGGGGTCAGACAAGATAAAAAAAAAAGTCCCTTTATACAATTATTCATGTTAGGTAAGGGTTTTAAAGGCCATTGAGTTTTTTGCAAATATTTTAACATTTTTTAGGGGCTAAATATTGGAGTTCTTATGTTTTGTCCACAACTCCAACCTTTTGTGGTTGAACAAGTGTCTTCTTTGTCCCTTTTGATCCAATGCCTTTATTATAAGATTTGGAATAACTTTTTAACTAGTTATTGATTATGTAATAAGGACAGAAAGTATATATAAATTGTCTTCTGCCAATGTATTCATTGTAAGTTTTTATGCTTCATAAAAATGTTCATTATCACTGATAAGTACTGTAAATTCAAAATTATTTGCCTGCATTATCATTGCGATTTTTTAACAAAGGACAAAAGTGTGAGTCTAATGATTTTCAGGAAATATTGTATACAAATAATGTTATCAAAATTTGAAAGGCAAGTTTTTATTTTTACAAATTCTATGCTGTGCCAGTTTTCGCAATAATTAAAAAAACATTGGAAAATTTTCTGATCAACAGAATGTGATAATTCTAGTCATTTCGTTACTTAATAAAATTGATTCTATTTGTTAGTCCCTGAATGGGAGCTTAGGTAAGAGTGCATTGACAAAATGAACTTTGGTTTGAATTGTTTTGCAGCTAACTGCTGTGTTTTTGCTTTTTTTCTGATGGCATTTTATAATAGGCTTACAAGAAGAGATAATAACAATTTTACTGAGTGTTATTTTAAAGCATGGATGAGATTATTATTCTCATTGTTTACATTATTCAAGAAGTTATAATTATGCATGGAGTTTTTTTTTTGAAAAAATAACATTCATTACTTTGATAATGGATAATTTTCAGGTGTGAGGAGTATTGCTTTTTAACCTCTAACATCATTATTATATGACATAAAAAATAATACATGGATACCAGAAATGGTTAGATGAACACAGAGTATAGCACATTTTTGTCTCCAAGTGAATAAATTATCCTACATTATGTAGTCATTGGCATCCTCAACATTTAGGTTCAGCCTGTGGTTTTTGTTATTTTACTATTCAATAAATTTGTTAAACCTTCATGGAATTTATGAAATATGTACAGAAACTTCTCCATGATTAAGGGAGCAAAATTAGGAAAACAAATTGTTTTTAGTTTTCCGTATTTTATGGAGGAATGGACATAGTTTTTGCAATCTCCAAATCTTACCCATTAACACTTTAATTAACACTAAATAAATAAAAAATAACAAATGAAATAAATTTCAATATATAAAACTATATAATGAAATCAGCAAACACAGACGTGACACACTGTTCCATTGAACCCTTGATTAATTAAATCTCTAATTGTTCCATTTATATGTCTTTAACACTGATTTTACAAAAACTTAAGGTGAAAAAATGTACAAGTGAAGATGTCTTAGGTGTCTTTAACTGTTATTTTTAGGCCCTTATTGGTAATGTTTATTTCCTTATATATTTATCCCTCTTTCCTTCCCGAACACTAAGCTTAGCTGCATTGCAAGTTCATGGTGTACATTGATTTAAAAAATTGTATCTTGTTAAAGCACAAATTTTGGTTTTATTTTGATACATGTGTTAATGCTATAATACCCCTGCAAACAAAGTTTGTGAGATATATAGGAATCATCCTGCCTGTCTGTCCATCTGTCTGTTTGTGTGGCTGACTAGCTTGTTTTCCATCTGTATGTTCATTTGCCTTCCAAGTACAACTCCTCCTAATGGGCTGGATGAATATATAGATAAAACTTTACACAATTAAAGAACAGTATCTGAAGATGTGCTTAAAGGAATATAGTCCCAGTCCTAAATGTTACAGGGGGGATAATATAACTAATTTATTAACTTCAATATTGCAATATGTTCTAAAAGTCTTTCAAAAGAGCAAACAATTTTTATAGACTCAGTCGTTTATATTTTAAATATCATAAGAGTATTAAGGGGCATGGGTAGACTTTTGTGAGTTCACTAACAGTTCCAGTTAACATTATCAGTATTCACATACACATATACCCCTGATGAAGTCATGAAAAATAAGAAAAGAAAAAGAACCTGGTCTCGAGGAAATATAAATCTCAACCAAGAAAACGTTTGTTCAGAAGCTGTGTTATAATGTGTTTTGTATATTTTGCTATCAGTTGGCAACAAGGTTTTTAAATTTTTTCAATATTTTATTTTCAATAGAAAAAGATGCTGATATATATATATTTCTGGTACACTGATTAATAATACAGGAGAAATCTATACAAGGAACTTTGATCTTTTTAATAAATTACCAATTAGGGTCTAAAATTTCATTTCATTGAAAATGTGAAAATTTTATATAATAAGATAGTTTATTATGTTTTTGTACGATAAAAGGCAGTGTTAATTTTTCTGATCTTTTTAATATTTCAATATTTTATCTACAGAAAAAGAAGAGCCAAAACCCAGAGAGCCAACGCCCCCACCACCACAGTCTCAAGTGACTGAGGAAACTGAACAAGAGCCACAAGAGGAGGAGAAGGTAGACGATAGCAAAACTAAATCTGAGTTGACTGATGATACATCATCTGTCACTGAAACTACCGCTAGCTGAAATACTACAGACAATTAACATATCATTGTACAAATATATGTCGATTCAGTATTAAATCAAAGATTTTCTGCTGAATATTTTGGTTATTTCAAAGCAAAGAATTAATAGTTACAAAGTCAAAGGTTTCTTCCAATTTAAAAAGGCAAGATAATGCTTTTATATCCCTTCCCCGAAAAAAAACCCTATAATTAGAAGGTACAATAGTCCCTTTTAGTATTCCTTTTCCAATGGATATCTTATGATATTGGTGAAATTTTAGTATTTTCTCTATGCTGTCTTTTCATTTAATATCATCAGAAGTTTTTACTGAAAAGGAGTGCAGGATGTAATATAAATACTGATATTCGTTTTTAGTAGGCTTAAAATTTCAAACTTTTTTCCTTATTATTACAAGATGTCCTTGCTAGCAACTTATTTCCACAACTTAGATTTTTTTTTAAAAGTATATCTATTTGAAAAGCTGTAGGGAATTCTGTATGTCATCATTCTTTTAAATATCAGCAGTTTAATTTCATTTATGAATTTTCTCATTCTTGTACATTATACTTAATTGGCAGCATTAGAAATTACCTTAAATCTTTTCTGTCTTCCAGTCTTAATCTTGAATGAACTTAAATAGGTGCCTTTTTTGTATTTTGATCTATTGTGAGTGGCTTGTCAAATTTTGTAATGCTCTGTTCTTTCTTTCTTTTTTTCAACAATAAAAGGAAATTTATTTTTATATTTAGCCTTTGTTTTATTGTTATATCAATGTGCATTACTTCATTTCATATTTTATGAATTATTATATATTTATTTATATGGAAAATTTAAGATATTCCGTCCATTTTAACTTGAATATACAGAAAATCAATTTAGAGGTTCTGTATCGAGTTGTATTACAATTCTGTTTACATTTTTTGTTTTCATTTTAAGTGCTGCTTTTAAAATTGTCGATAGGATGTATTTTTATTTATGAAATGTTTTCAGAGATAAAGCACTTTAAAACAAAATTTGTATGTCAGAGATAACTGTTCTTTAATGCAAAATTTGCTTGATTAAGTTCCTATGAAACAAAATAGGTCAATACTAATTTAAAGTCCTATTTTAAATAAAAGTGTTTCATTTTCCTACTTAATATATTTCTCAGAAAAGAAAGTGACAAATAATATTTCATGATTAGGGACACTATCGTCACAGGTCAAAGTAGTTTGACATGTCTGAATGGATTTAGTTTTAAAGGAAGAGTTGATTTGTTTTGTATTCTGTGATATATTTAACTGATATGTAATAAAACATATATTTTCATTCATGTTATTTACTGATCTTTCATATACAAATTGTTACATATGTAAGTGTATGGAGATTAATTCATTAGAACATTTAAAGAATAAAGATTAAAAAGTACTTGGTATTGTTATCAGATAAAGAATGTCACTATTAAAAGGGTCAAATTTTTCCCCCTTAGATACATGTTCTACCATAGAGTTATCATTAAGTCCCAGAGTTTTCCTTTCAAATAGTTGACGGTTATTAACCTTTTCTATAATCAGTCATAATATGACAATAATAAAATAGTATGACAGTTATCATATGATGAACCCCTATTACTCACATCTTGCTGTTTTTGTTCAGAAGTTTTTTTTATTTTAAGTTTCTTTCTTAGTGTTTTCTACCATTTAAATTTATGCATCATTTTCCCTTATTTACATTTTTATTGGCTTTTTCCAGGCTGAGTAGGCCTACGTCTAGAGTAGCAAATGTTATCAACATATTTGGTATACTCATGCATCTAATAGAGTTTGAGTATGTGTCATATTAGCTTCGCATCATGGTGCGGAGCTATTAGTTTCAGTCGATATACACGCCATCTTGAAATAACTACTAATCACATATAGATTCTGATTGGTTGCGTTATGATGCGGCTGAGATACAGCAACAGCTATTGGCTTAAATGAGATAAAGAATTACAGATTTTTCTCGTCTCAGGATAAGACATCAAATGCCCGAAAATTAACTATGTTTATTTCAGTTACGATCAACTGTCATTAATTCATGTTCATTTTATATTATGCATATATTGCACACTAAAATTCAATATTGAAATATCAATTATTAATACGTGTTAATTTGCTTTGTTAATCTGCAATATATGCACGATTTGTTTTGCTATACAATGTTCCTAATCAATGTTTACAAAAATGCATTACCTGTATTTTATAACTTCTGCCAATCTAGGCACACATCCAGAGAGGCACACCTCGAGAATACTAATTCAACAACCACATGCACATTATTACCTTAAATTAGGATAGAGCGAAGCAGTCCACAGCTTTTTAGAAAGTTCAAACTTGTATACACTTAACTTAATCAATATTTTATGATAAACTGACCTACATTTAATGCTTCATTGACCTCAAGGGTTGGCTTGGTATAGAAATGTGGTCAACCCTAGAGTTCTCCAATCAAATCCAATCTATAGAGGGGCGTCCACTTGGCTGTGTGAGTTGTATAAGTAGTCACGTCCGGCTGAAATGGGAAGTTTCGGTAGTTTAGACACATCCTAAAGTGGGGCATTCGGAATGGAGATGTTAAATCCGATGCCTCGTGTAGAGATGTGTCACGTTCTCTGTACGTTAAAGAACACTTGCAACAACTTTCTGAGGTGTCAGTAGGTGATTTGTTGTGAGACAAAATTTCTGTCCCCATCCAGCATACCCTCATTTTCCACTGGAAATTCAAATTTTTCACCCTTCATTCCGGTCGACCCCTACCTTGCAGAATCTACCTATTGTATTGATTGTTAATTTGTTCTCGTTCTGAACATATATGATTTGTTTGCCACTGGAAATAAAGCAAACGACAACAACCAATTCACATATGGAGGTTAATGATGTGTATTCATCTTTTCGATTTGATTATGAGTTAGTTAAAAGATCTGCGGTTCTTTTCACAAAAAATCTTGAGATAAAAAATACTCCTAAGTCATACACATTTCAGTATAACTTACGATCAATTTTAATCGTAAATTTTTTTGTGAAAAGAATCGCAGACCTGCCAACTTTCACGATTTATAAACGGTGTTGACCTGAATTTTGAAAAACAGGCATTCAAATGAGTTAAAAGGGTATTTAAGCACATACATATTCATTCAAACAATACTATACGTAGTTGATTAAAACACTTATGACAATATAAGAGAAGCATTAGGTCCGATGGAGATTTTGAAAAGTTGGCAGGTGTGAAAGATTACTACATTGTACTAGTAGACTTCTAGATCAGAAATACAATTTTTCTCAGCTATTAGTGCAGACAAATTATTATGAGTTATATAACAGAATTTCTGGGATAAATCTAAAAACAATAGCTTCAAGAATTGATCCTTTAGCCTCAACATATTTTTTTTTAAAATTCACTCACACCAGGTAGTAAATAACTAGACAACATAACCATACTGTTGCCCAAATCATGCGATGCAGCACTTTAGCGGCGAAGTATTTTCTAATAGGACAAGTATAAAAATGGAAAAACAAATATCAAAAGTTTAGTTGAATTTGGATTGTTAGTTTAATTTTTCATTTTATAGATAAGCATTCAATTGTAAATTCGTAGCTTTTTTGTTTTTTCTTCTTTTTTTTTAATGTGCAGTATACAACAATATTTCGCAACTTCGAAAACATGAAAGATGCACAAAAACAGCTCAGTAATGAAAATAAGAAGATGTGGTATGAGTGCCAATGAGACAACTCTCCATCCAAGTCACAATGTGTAAAAAGTTAAAAATTATAGGTCAAAGTACGGCCTTCAACACGTAGCCTTGGCTCACACCGAACAGCAAATGTTATAAAATTATAAAACGGATTTTATCTCGTACCTTCTCCAAAGAAATTTTGTTCATTGTTTACTATATAAGGTTTTAAAACATATACATTTGTGTAATTTGTATTCTCATCCCTGAAAGCAGTTGCTTATTTTCGCATATAAAAAATTCCGGAAAAATGATTTTTGTCGAGCCTTCGACTTTTGTCGAAAAAGCGAGACATAGCGATCCTACATTCCGTCGGCGTCGGCGTCCACAAATATTCACTCTGTGGTTAAAGTTTTTGAAATTTTAATAACTTTCTTAAACTATCCTGGATTTCTACCAAACTTGGACAGAAGCTTGTTTATGATCATAAGATAGTATCCAGAAGTAAATTTTGTAAAAAAAAAAATCCATTTTTTCCGTATTTTACTTATAAATGGACTTAGTTTTTCTGCCAGGAAACATTACATTCACTCTGTGGTTAAAGTTTTTGAAATTTTAATAACTTTCTTAAACTATCCTGGATTTCTACCAAACTTGGAAAGAACCTTGTTTATGATCATAAAATAGTATCCAGAAGTAAATTTTGTAAAAAAAAAAATCCATTTTTTCCGTATTTTACTTATAAATGGACTTAGTTTTTCTGCCAGTTAACATTACATTCACTCTGTGGTTAAAGTTTTTAAAATCTTAACAACTTTCTTAAACTATCCTGGATTTGTACCAAACTTGGACAGAAGCTTGTTTATGATTAAAAGCTAGTATCTAGAAGGAAATTTTGTTAAAATTTTGGTCCATTTTTTCCGTGTTTTACTTATAAATGGACTTTTTTTCCAGTTAACATTACATACAGTCTGCAGTTTAAGTTTTTAAAACATTTATTAGATTCATAAACTATCCTGGATTTTTACCAAACTTGGACAGAAGCTACTTACAATCAAAAGATAGTATAGAGAGGAATATTTTTATTAATTTTTTTCCTCATTTTTGTTGAGCCTGTGATTAACAGCAACAGTAGGCGAGACACTGGGTTCCGCGGAACCCTTACGGATTTTTCAGTGTTATATAACTGAGCGGTTTAACGGTAAACACCTGCAAAATATGAACTACATATGTATGTATTTATTATGCAATTTTTTTTACAACTTTAATATGAATATGCATATTGTTAGATACTCTAGACTTTGTTAGATTGGTATACGTCAATGAAACAACAATCTTGCAACATGTACAAACCGGTATAAGATGTGATCTTTTCAAAGAGAGACGGACGATATTAAAGGGACAGTCAAATGCAAACTGACAACGCCATGCCAAAATAATGAAGAAAACAAAACGACCTAAAGGCATACAAGAGTTTACACATCCCATCATAGACAACGGTAAAGGCTGAGGGACACAAACCCCTCCAAAACCGAGGATGATTCCCGGTGTTCCGCAATGATAGGCAGATTCTGCGCCACATGTGGCACCATTTGTGTTGCTCATCTGTTTGGTTGTTATTTTTATAGATTGTAAGTTCAAGTCAAGAAGACATTTTCAAGTGCAAAAAGTAAAGTTGGATATATGACTTCACAGTAGCGATGTTGTTTTAGCAAAAATAATTTATTTCTGTTTATTGTTTGACCGTCTTCAGGCAGATCTACATAAAATGGGCAGCTTACAGTGAATTCTATAATACTAATATTCTGAGAAGGTGTACATTTTGTGTCACGGCATTGAATCGGCGACAAATGATAATCGATTGTGATTTCAACATACAAAGAATAAAACTACTGAAGGCGAAGTTCAGTCACACACTGACATGTCCAAGTTTTTAGGAACAAGTTTTTGAGTCGACGTTTTTTGACACTAAATGTATCAAAACTAGAAAAAATAATCCATTCAGTGGATGAAAGATAAAGTCAATTTGACAAAATATTAAGAGAAACCAAAAGAGAACGGATTCGAAGATGAACATCATACAACTAGAAGATGAAGAATCAGAAGTATTTATGGTCAAATAAGAAGCTATAGGTGTTACACTCAAACAGACGATTATATAACAAAGACAGCTGAATTCCTCAAACGGCTCTTTTAGAACCACAAAATCTTTCAAAAAGAGTTCAATTGTAGTCACATAACAACTAGCTGTAAGATGATGAAATTTCCCCCTCGTTTTTACCTTTTCTACAAAAACACAACAACTAAGGCAGAACGGGCGGTCTATGCTAAGTTTCCGAAATCATGTGTGTGTTTGTGTGTTGTTGTTATTTTCTAAATATACATGATACATGATGTAAATAATAATTCTAATACACCTCTTGAGGTCGTTTGGTTGTGTTTACCTCAAAGATCTGTTCGCTAATACATGTGCATGTAAATATCTTTTTAATTTGAAAGTCTGTGATACAATAGGTACTTGCTAGTCAATTTTTTTTTACATAACACGAATTTAACTTGTTTGTTTTGTCGTTCAGTGAGCGTTTGTCAACTGCAGGAGGTGCAAGTACCCTGACTAATAGAGGGACTCTTAAATGTAAAACCACGATTGATTGGCTTATTTCCAACTAGTCAAAATTGAGGGAAATAATGGATTACAGTGGCTTTAGCTATTCAAAAGAACAACGTCCAGTTGTTAGTTGACTCTTGACAATGTCTAAGTTATCCGTTTCATTATAAATCCCAGTATATCATAAATTAAGAATTGACCTCAAATGTAGATCAAATCAGTTGGAATTGATTTAACAGATATGTGTGTTGTGTAGTTATAAAACCAATAATGTAAAAAGTGACCTATAAACTATCATAGTAATAATCCAAACATGTAATGACAGCTAAATGGGATTATTTTTAAAGCTTTTTGAGAATAGTTACTAAAAAATAGGGAGGAATCCTAGCACCTGATATTTAGACCTTTAAAAATTATGTCACGTGATCATTTCTGTTACAATTTAACAGGGATTGCAGTATCATTGATCCAAATTGTCCAAAAGTTTACTGATAGAAACAGAAGAATGGAGAAAGACTCTTCTTATTTTTGTTATTAAACAGAGGATTAATTATAATTGATATACTACCCAGTTCAAATTATTTTTTATTAATAACCATGTATTTACAATTTATAAAAGCGATATTATTTGTTCAGCTAGTTTCATCCGTTCAAAGTCAGCAGTGCCGTCAAGGATGTAAATGTTCGGCAAAGGTAACGATTTGTGCATTCACCCAAATTAGCGGAGTTCCAAACAATCTTCCGACAGCAATCACAGCTTTGGCAATTTCAGGCAGTGCATCTAGTCCGAATTCATTTGGGCATTTCAATCCATCTACGTTTTTATCTTCCAGAATGTCGCATTTAATATTGAGGTATTGCGGGATTGATGCAATGGACGCTGGAGCATTTAGAACATTACCCGAATTAAAAACATTAAATTTAGAATTCAACAAAATTAAGATATTAACACAACAGTCGTTTCAAGGATTGACAAAGTTAACAACACTCGAACTGACCGGTAACAAACACTGTGACATTAAACCAAATGCATTTAACGGATTGCCAACTTTATTAGAGCTACATTTAGGCGAAATGGACTTGGATACGTTTGATTTAAATTTGCTTAAATCGCTGCATAGTCTTGCCACCCTTGATCTTCATGGCAATAAATTAAAAACACTGTACTGGACTGTTCTATCGTCGCTGACAAATTTGAAGCATATCGATCTTTCTGGAAATCAACTAACAACAATTCCGTCTAATATGTCGACACTATCTATACAAATAGAAACAAACAAAGGGAGCATAAATCTGGGAAATAACCCTTGGAAATGTAACTCGGAAATTAAATGGCTGAAAAACATGTCAGTATCTTTCAGTTCCGTGTTTAGTATAGGAAACATTATTTGCGATACACCTGCAAATCTTAAGTACATTTCATTAATCAATGTCCCTGATCCAAAACTAGAACCGATACTTCCAAAGATTTTATATTGTGACAAAACAAAAGTAACAGTGAATGCAGGTTCTGCTGTATTTATAAACTGCACGATAAAAGGCGATTCAACCACTGTCACGTGGATAAATCCGACTGGAACATCTTTCGTGTCTTCTCCTTTACAACAAAATGACCAAAATGTGTACGTCAATGGCAGTTTGTATATGGCGAGCACATCGTCAGCCGATCGTGGCAACTGGACGTTGTCGGTATCATCTAAGTTCGGCGAAGATCAAAGAGCTGTTTATGTTAATGTTATTTTATCACCTAAAATGAAAACAACAACAACCACGACACCACACAAAATCACTACGACGACACCAATCAGAACAACCATTGTAACGACAGACAACACGACACTTACAACAATCACAACAACGCCACCGATCAGAACAGCTACGTCAACAACATCGTCAAAGGCTGCTACTAGAAATGTGTCATCAAAGGTCGTGGTAATTGAATTTTTACCCATTGTAACAACAGATACAACTTTGAAAACTCCAGAAAAGAATTCCGCTCCGCAAATTACAGAAAGCGTTGGTTACTTTGTCTTAGTTGTATGCACAGCTATTGCATGCCAACTTCTCATGTAATAAAGATTGACCGCTTTGAAATTTACTGCATTTGACTATGAAAAAAAAAGAAACCATTATATGAAAACTGTTGATTATTGCGTTGAATTTAGCTTTACTTTGCTGTTGATGACATTAAATTATTGATTCTTTGTATTGATTCAAATTTTCATTTTAATTAAAAAGAACCATGATTTGTCAAATAAAAAATAACTTGTAAGCATTATTTTCTGTTGTAAACAGGTGTGATAAATGTATCATGATTTAATGTCTGATTTTGAGCCAAATAAGTTTAGATTCAATTAAAATGTTAGTAATTGCTAGTAAATTTTCAGCGTTGTTTTAGTATTTGTCCAAATTTTGAAATTTCACACTGTTTTATTGTTTTGCCTGCCCAGCCAGAAACTGCCAGAAACCATTATATTGTTTAAATGAAAATTTAAAATGATATTGTAGTCTCTTTATTTGGCTTTCATGGATTAACAATCGATGTTTTTCTGTTCTTATTTAGAACAATTTTATTGATTGTCGTATTCTAAATACGATTTTTTTTCCGAAGGGCTACCCGAAAGTTCATGATTTCCATTTAAGACATTTATTGAACACTATATTTTTCAGTTTGAAAAGGGACCTTTTTTTTACTTCATCTTCAAATTAGAAATTGATTTTGTTCTATTTACTCAACATTCGCCGTATTGATACACATGTAAGATTCATTTGAAGATAAAAGAGTTTTTTAGGTGCTACAGACTAAATTATCTTCTACATTTTTTTTAACCAGTTACAAAATTTATACTACGAAAAAATTAGAAGTGACTACTGGACTGTTTTTACGCTGAAACCTATAACTACCTATGTGTACATATAACACTTGTCATGTTTATTTCCAAACCTTTATCCTGCCCCATGTCAAAACTAGTTATAAATCGAGCTAAACGAGTCGAGATGAGAGGTCCCAACACACATAGCGCTATGTAAAAATAAAATATTGTAAAAGTATGAATAACAAGTGAACGAACAAATATCAAATCTTTCAAATAGACTTATGTCAAATTATTTTTATTCTGAAAATCCGGTATTTCTCCGAGTAGAATCAAAGGTCTTTTTCGTAAAGGTAGCATTTTTTTTGTGTAAAATATTTCCATGGTGTAAAGTATTGAAAGGCATCTCCTGTGTTAGTCTAACCTCACTTAAATAAGTTAGGTAAGCAACCAGAAATACATAAGTTTCATAAATAACAATTAAACCTAAAAACATTTTTTAAAACAACATTATAGTCATTAATTGTAAACAATGTTTGCATTGAAATGATTGTTGCTTTTGAATGCATCATCAAAATTTCTTTTAATGTTTGTCGAACACTTTCATCATCAAAAGGAAAACATTATAGAGGTCAGTTTAAATATATATCATAGAACAAATAAACTTCTAATTGTGTATGCATGTTGCAAAATTTAAAATATGCATGGAAAAGGAAAAGATCATTTCTTAAAATTAAACACACGATGAAGGCAGCGCACTGAAATCATTCGAAAAATATACATCCAAATAGAAACAGATATGGGTGCAAAACAATTTGACTCACGCGAACTCCAACACAGAGTGGCACCAGGTACCTTAAAAAAAGTCAAACACCAAAAAACAATCCTATAATAATCAAACATCATGTAATTACCTTACAATCCAATTGAAGAGGTTGGAATACTTGCATGTCAGTTTGTCGAAGATGATAATTAAAAAATAACAATAGTAAAGAGATTTTGATATATAATTCTCGGAAATGCATGTACAGGTTCCAAATTTTGAAAAGTGCCATACTTCTGAGGTACAATTTTTTTTAATGGTTTGTAGTCCAAAAGAGAGGCGAAAGGTACCAAATGGATATTTAAACTCTTATATCGAAAACAAACTGACAATAGCATGGCAAAAAACGAAAAACGACCAAAGGACTTTAACAACAGAACACAAAACTCAACATAGAAAAACTAAAGACTGAGCAACAAATCACACACACACCAAATGATTAGACAGTTTCAACAACTAAACCCATTGGCAGGATTTTTGTTAACTTAAGTACGCTATCATAAACTTTACCACAATAATTGCAGTTCCATACTCAGAAAACGAATATTAGGAATCTATGACACTGTAAATATGGTTAATTCATATAAATCTTAAATTCAACTTTTCAATTGATGTAATTGTGCTGTTGTTATTGTCAGGTTCATTCCCGTTCGTAACTTTAGAATATCGCCCCTTGTGTTTAGAAATTCTTCAATTTTTTTTTATTGAAATACAATTAATATTCACTTAGAAAGATGAAATTGCCCTAGTGGGTTTACTGTTCTTATGACAGAAGTATTGACTTTTCCATTGATAATATAATCAAAGTACTGAAGTACTGAACATCGGATGACCGCAAGTTCTGGTGGATAGTCACAGGCACTTGTCTCAGAAAAATAAAATATCTCTATACCTGAAAATTAGGTTAAGGTACATAGATATATTTTTTTTCTGAGACAAATTCCTGTGTAAATGACAGAGAATTCAACCTCGCCGTAATAATTATTATATTGTAGTGATATAATCATGGGACAATCATTTGTTATCAGTATAATCTGGTTTGTTGTTATATATTATATTAATATTTGTACAACAGTTATATATATAGCAGATCATCTTAATAACTCTACCGGCAAATTTTCATCCATTTATACCATCATTATATTCTACTTTTCTAATGATAGTGCAGTGCAAGTGCATGGTGGACACTCTTCTGTAATAATTCGTTTTTCTGATAGGTTTGATTTGAGTTGGCATTCATATTTCTCCCGGTTATGAATATGTATTGATGCGATAAGTGATATTCATCCGCAAACACAATTTTTCGGTACGTGTGCATAGATATTAATGATTTTTTTACTTATATATGTATATTTCTCACGACAAAACATTTTCGTATTATTTATTCATGTTCTTAAAAAATATTTTCATGAGTATTCATTGAAAAAATGAATTTATAATAAGCGATAAGGAATGTTATTTTGCATTCGATAATATCTGCGTATTTATACGAAATACGTTCGGTTATCAGTCAAAAACACAAGTCACGTGGGTAGAAATGCCTGCGGCAACATAACACCGGAATGCCCTCAAGGTCATCCGCTGTAAAAATGAGGAGATGTGGTATTATTGCCAATGAGACAACTATTAACCAGAGTTCAAATAAAGTGGTGGTAAGCAATTATATGCCACCATATACAGCCTTCAACAACGAGAAAAACACATACCGTTTAGTCCGCTATAAAAGGGCCGACATGAAAAAATTCTAAAACGAGAAAACTAACGGCCTTACTTAAAACAAAAAAATTACGAAAAACAAATATGATGGATATGAACCAACTACAACCACTGTTCCACATGCTCCCGACTTGGGACAAGTACATAAAGAGTGTGGCGGGTTTAAGCATGTTTGTGAGCGCTAAACCCTCCCCTAACCTTGGATGACCTCTTTTAATACAACTGTCCCTTGGGAGGTCTAGCCGTCACGACTATGAAAATCAGTTTGTAAATTGTGTAGTTTATAATACATAGAGATACGTTGTATCGTTGAGTAATATGGCATGGTTAATCCTTTATTTCAGAAGGGGGTTTTCTAGTTTTTAAATGCCATACAGTTACCTATAATTATACCCACTTCATTCCAACTCTGGTAGATAGTTGTCTCATTAGCAATTATATCTCGTCTCCTTGTTTTTGTATTTTGTATCGGGAAAATAAGTGTATTAGAAAGAGTGTACATTTAGAACCCGTTCATATACTACTGTTTGCTGAGCATCAATCAACCAGATTTAAGTGTTGACATTGTCTACTTAAACATCATTCCGTAGGTTGTTTGTTACTGGAATCAGCCTGGTTCCTATCAAAGTACGATTTGTCTAGACCTAAAACAAGAAACAGATAACTGCGACTGGCATTCATTTACATCAAACATTGTTTAAGAAGAATGAGTAGTAGTCATTATATAATCATTTATGTATATATAGTGCAGAATGATACTCTTGAACTATTTTACCGATTTGATCGAAGAAGAGTACTTCAGTTTTGTTTGTGTTTTTGTCTTCTTTTTTTTTTTTGGGGGGGGGGGGGGGGGGGGGGGGGGGTCAACATCTGATTGACAGCAAAGATTTAGAAATGCTCTTTACGTTAAATGTATTGAAAAAACATTTGATTACTCTATAAAAGAAACATTGTATGAACTGTAAAACGGATTCAAGTGGAACATCGAGAAGAAACAACAATACAGAGCTCTTGGTATAATTGTTTGTGTAATTTATATATTCCAAATAAAGAAAGAAGATTTTCATCCTAATCATTATGGATGTTTATACCAAAGGAGAAAATTCTTTCTTAAATCTTCGAGCCTACGTGTGTGAAGTAGGAAAACGAATGGGAATATGATATGTTGTTGATTTCAAGTTTAATATATTCATTTAAATCATTTAAGCTGGAAATAAGGAAATTTATTGACATATAGAGATATAACAGTTCAATAAATCGACTTTTTTATATGCATAAAGCTTCTTAATTGGTATTTCGTTTGAAAGATAGAACATTGTCCTTTTGAGTTAATTCAATATAAACTCTAACAAGTTAAGTTATCGGCATACATCATTTAATATATAGCTAAGTCATTTAATGTCTTTTTCAGATATATTTAGGATGTCCTTTCACTCAATGATCCTGTTTATGAGGTCTGTTATTCATGTCAATACTACTGCTGTCTTCTTCCTAAAACTGTCACAGATGAACGACTGTTACCTCGAGTAGCAAGTAACCCAGTGGATACAGTTTTGCTTCTGTCTGTTTCTCATTCTTGTGAAGGGACAAGACATCTGTCCCAGCCAAAGGAATTTAAGTATCTAAATTGAATTGATATACCAACATTTGCTCAAAATACAGTATATACCCACAGCCATTAATAAAATCAATATTATTAACAGATTTTTCTTACATTCTCC